GTTTCACTGGGAATCCTTCATGTGGGAGGATTCAGTCGGAATCGTTCTTGTGGAGGGTTTCAATATGAGTCCGTCTGCGGAGGGAGCCATTGGGACTCGCCAGCGCAATGGCAACGCAATGCCAAAGCTTTGCCATCGCAATGCCAAACCAAAGCCAAGGCGATCCCAATTCAATGCCACTGCAATGCCAATGGGTGGTATCCTTTGTGGTAGATTCCAGCAGGGAATCCTACCTCTGGAGGGTTTCGATTGGAATCCTTCCGTGGGGGGGATCAGTCTGAATCTTTTATGTGGGGGGCTTTCTGAAGGATCCCTTCTTGAAGAAGGTAAGGAATCCTTCTGTGGTGGGAGCCATTCGAACTCGCCAGCGCAATGCCGAAGCAGTGCCAATGCAATGTCAAACCAATGCCAATGCAATGCCAATGGGGGGAACTGTTTGTGGTTCAATAGCAATCCTTCTAAGAACCCTTCTTCTGGGGCTTTCAATAGGACATCTTATATGGAGGGCTTCGCATGTAACCCTGCTGTTGAGGATTTCAATTTGAATCCGTCTTGTGGGGGGGTTCGATAGGCATCCTTCTTGTGGGGGTGTTCACTCGGAATCCTTCTGTGAAGTGTTTGAATGTGACTCGCCAGCGCAATGTCAACGAAATGCTCACGCTCTGCTAACGCACTGCCATCGCAATGCCAACGCAATGCCAATGCGACGCCAAACCGTTGCCAAACCAATGCCTATGCAGTGCTGATGGCGGGATTCCTGTCTTCCGACAGATTTCACTAAGAATCCTTACGTGGATGAGTTGGTTACGAATCCTTCTTCGGAAGATTTCGATAGGAATCCTCCCGTGGAGGGTTTCGATTGAAATATTTCTGTGGGGGGCAACTTTGAATCCCTCATGTGGGGCGTTCAAAAGGATCGCTTCTTGTGCAAGATTTTCATTGGAATCCTTCCGTGGGGGGAGCCATTAGAACTCGCCAGCACAATGCCAACGCAATACCAACGCAATGCTAAACAATGCCAAAGCGATACCAATTCAATGCCGATGCAATGCCAATGAGGGAAACGTTTGTGGTCGGGTTCAAGAAGAATCCTTCTATGGAGGGCGTCGGATGGAATCCCTCCGTGAGGGAGTTCAATGTGAACCCTTCTTGCGGGATGCTTCAATCGGGCTCCTTCTGGCGGGGGTTCAACAGGGATCATTCTGCGAAGGGAGGTGCTGGAACTCGCCAGCGCAATGCCAGCGCAATGCCAACGCAGTGCCAACGCAATGCCACACCAATGCCAAAGCGACCCCAGCCCAATGCCAATGCACTGCCAATGGGGGAAATCCTTTGCGGTAGATTTCAATAGGAATCCTTATGCGGAGGGTTTCGCATGGGATCCTTCTGTGGAGGGTATCAATATGAACCGTTTTGTGGAGGGTTTCAATCGGAGTCCGTCTTGTAGAAGGTTTCAATCGGAGTCCTTCTGTGGAGGGCTCCAGTAGGACTTGCCAGCGCAATGCTTGCGAAATTCAAGCACACTAGCAACGCACTGCCTAGCGCAATGCCAACGCAATCCCAATGCGATACCAAACCTTTGCCAAACCAATGCCAATGCAATGCCAATGCAATGCCAACGGGGGGTTCTTTGTTTCGACGCATCTCACGATCACTCCTTCTGCGGGTGATTTCAATTGGAATCCATATGTGGAGGATTTCAATACGAATCCTTGAGTGGATGGTTTCGATCGGAATCCTTCTGTAGAGGATTTCACTATGAATCCTCCTTGTGGGGGCGTTCAATAGGAATCCTTCTAGGGGGGAGGGTAGATGAGGCCACGTCGCATTCCTTTTGTTTCGCCGCAGACCCCCCCCCCCAAAAAAAAACAAATAAACAAAGAAGTGTGTGTGTGTGGTTGTGTGTGTGTTTAAACTGTTTTTTGGGGGGGAGGGAGAAAGAAAAAAAAGGAGGAGGAGGAGGAGGAGGGGAGGAGGGGGAGGCGGAAGGAGAGGAGGACGCCACAGAATACGCACACCATTGAAAGACGCACGCGCGAACGCGTGTGAAAGCCTCGCGCGCGCGCCCTGGAGCCCCGAGGGGCTCCACAATCCCCCGTTCTCTCCTCCTCCTCCTCCTCCTCCTCCTCCTCCTCCTCCTCCTCCTCCTCCTCCCTCCTCCTCCTCCTCTCCTCCTCCCTCCTCCCTCCTCCCTCCTCCCTCCCTCCTCTCCTCCTCCTCCTCCTCCTCCTCCTCCTCCTCCTCCTCCTCCTCCTCCTCCTCCTCCTCCTCCTTCCCTTCCCCTCTCCCTCCCTCCCTCTTCCCCTCTCCCTCCCTCCCTCCTTCCTTCGCGCCCTTCGGACGTTGCGTGCCCGTGGGGGACCGCGCCCTGCCCCTCCCCGCCAGATACACGGACGGAGGAGGTCCAACCACTCGCCTGCGACTCCTATGATTGCCGCGGGCCGCGGCGTGGGCTGCCCGGTTTGCGGGTGGCCCCCCCCACGACGGCCCTCTGTGGAGACGCCCGTCGGGGGGCTGGCGATGCCATGCCAGCGGCCCGCCGAAGCGGCACCACCCGGCACGGACTGCCTGCCCCAGCCGCCGCCGCGCCCGCGGTGCGCCCACGCTGCTGGCGCGCCCTGGCGGGCGCCCGCCGCTGGCGCTCGGGTCACGGCGGCTGCGGGCGGCCCCACTGCCCTGGCGGCCCGGCGAGCTCCACGACAGCGCCCAGCTCCCGCGCCTCCCACCCCGCGTGCGCAGCCTCCGCCGGATCTCCCGCCGATAAGCCAGTCGGCACGGCCGAGGATACTGGCGCTCCTCTGACAGTGCACCGCCCTGCGTGCGCCGCTGCGCCGTCCCCTGGACAGGTGA